ACTGGGTCACAGAGCACAGGTGACAGCTAGGACAGCCCGTGAGGTTTGAATAAAATCACATTTTCAGACATTCAGCTTAATCCCTAGAGGCTTCTGCGGTCTGAAAAACCAAAACCTACTTGAAGGCAATCCATTTCATCTTCTTCTCTTCTCCATTTCTTCTGCTCACCTTCTGCTTTCCTGCCCAGCTGTCAATTATTTCATTCTTTCCTTTTTCCCCCCTTAGATCTAATATTTTCTGTCATTTACCAATACTAGCCCTGAATGTGCTTTAGTGGCCATAAAACTACCTCAATAATCTTATCATTTCCCTTCTGTCTTCTTGTAGTTGCTTCACAACGTTTAAATGTAAATATAAAAGCTAATGACTGAAATTTCGAGGTCAAATCACTGCTTCTTGTAATCTGAATATGTAAAATACAGCTAAATTTGCCAACCTGACTTTGAAAATCAGTCTTTTTCACTGTATGAAATTTCAAATGTTCCTGTGTGTAACTGTTCCAGATTTTAAGGAATGAAATCACCTGGAAATCCTGATCATCAGTCTTCTGCTTCCCATCCATCCCAGATATTTTTTTTTTTAATCTTGAGAAAGTCTCCTGTGTTCTAGCTAGCTGCTAATTTTGAAATGTCTGCAGTTTCCTGACCACACTTTGAACAGCTTTAGATAGGATTATGGATTGCTTTAATTTCAATTACAATTAAGCAACCCAAGGAAAGTCGAATAAAGAGCGTTTTTATAAATCTGTATTCATAGATTCAAACAAGTATTTTTTTCTTTTCATTAACAAATAAGAAGCATAGGGGATGATACGGTTTTAGATGATATTTAGATATTTGGAGAACAATTCCTACCACAGCAGCCTTTGAAATATGAGAAAAATTTGTTATCACCAATATTTTATTTAAAAACAAAAGACATTGTAGTCATGCAATACCAGCAAATACCCAATACTGGTATTTTTACTGTGTGTGGACCAACAATTATTGGAGTATTGTGTTGTTCATGCACAGTGATTCTTTAGTGTGCCCAGTTTAGGTTGGAATGGTCATTTATTTCATGGAAAAAATGGAAAAAAAAATAATATCCCATAATCTTCAGTGCAAGAAAGTGCAGATTCTTATGAGAAGCCTTCTCTGTTTGTTGGCAGAGGTGCAAAACCTCAAATCTGCGGGGAAAAAAAATACCTTTCAGCAGAGTAATCCAGAGCTCTGGCACCGTTTCTGTGAGCTGGCCCTGGAAGGAATTGCATTTGTATTGTGAACATTAGTACCATTTCTGGGATAAAATACATTTCTTTTCCACTTTTGAATAATTTACCCTTTTCTTTTAGCGTAGAAGTCATTACTGCCAAAATAGCGTGAGCATAATCCACTGCAATTAGAGGGCCCATGCAGCAGGCCCAATGGAAACCCTACATCATTTCAGAAGTACTGAGACTGCTTAAAAGAGAATTACAAATAATGTTATAAGTTATAAAAATAGTTCAGTGTAGAGTTCTTGCCCACTTTGGTCTGCTCTCACCCCGTTGCTTTCCAGCCCCGTCGTTCCATACGGCGTGACAGCAACTCCTCCTTTGGGAAGCAGGGAAATGTCCTCCTACACAACCTTTTCAGGTGATTTCTGTTCTGAAGATGGCTGCAGATGGATTTTGAAGAGGTTGTGGTGCTCAGTGTACTCTATAAGGCTGGATAAAAGGGAAGGGCTGCTGTATTGTGCTCAGAACAAAACATTCCCGACATGCGGAATGCACTCGCATGTTCACAGTGTGTACCCTACAAGTCATTTTTTGACACTTTTTAACTTTAAATAGCAGCTTTTCAGGAATCTCTGACTTGGTGCTTTACATGGCCCTCATCACAATTGTTCTCAGAGCAACTGGAGAACGGTTTTTCTTCTTGGATACCATTGCATGGGATAGAAAATTTGTACGTCCACCTCAGAGAGGCCCAAGGCTGAAAATACCTCGGGTCATTGGTCCAGTCTATCATGATGTGCTTAGAGGAAGTCCACAAGCCAGTGTGAGATACCCTTGTGTCTGATCCTTACATTGTCCATCTCACCTCCAAAAATACAAATATTAAAGCTGGCTGCCATATCAGGCAGGGCCTAAGAACTTTTGAATTGGTTTTGTATTGAAATAATAATTCTTTCATAATTCTCTTTAAAGCTGATCTCCCACACTCCTCCTTGGGTGTGTCTGTGGGGATTGGACTCTCAAAAAGTCTAATTTTCCTACTTTGTGTGAAGGTCAATGCCTCAATCTCTTACCTGATGGAATCCATATTAAATGTGCATCTCAGTAATCACATGAAGAAAAAAAATCTTAGGAGCAGCTTTACTTCAGATGCCACCCCTTTACCAAGGCTGTTTTCATGGATTGAGTCTTCTTTGCATACTTGGGCAGTACAAATACTTCAGGGGAAGGTGTGGTGTTCACTCTAATGCCACCTGATTCATGGGCAGGATCTTCCCATCTTAATCCTACAACCAGTCTCTCTCCACCTCTCTGTGTAGGAAATTATTTCATTAGAATCGCTGAGTAAGGAGACCTCAAGTCCTAGTAGGATTGTATTTATGCTGGAGAAATTAATGCCAGCTAATGGTCTTGCTGCTTGTTCTATTTTCCTTCGGTATTTGATTTTTGGTAATTGGCCCAACTTGTGTCCTACTGTGGGAGCTTGGCAGAGAGAGAGGGATAAAGAACGGAGAAAAAGATTTGTAGGTGTCGGAGACAGCTTGTGTATGTGCCTGCATACATATGTGAGCTGGCATAAAGCAGGGCTGTGGGGATTTTAACTCTTTAAATAATACTGCACATAAATCAGCTAGCTGAGGATGTGACCCAAGAAAGGCAGGAGAAATATTTACAGGTGCTCTGGCAGTGTTTGATTTTTGGGCAGGGGTGATCGGCATGCACTTACCTTCCAAGATACTTTGTCCGTGCAAGGGTGAATCATGCAAGGCTCAGTTGACTCATGGGTGGGAAAAAATGGAGTTAGCACAATCCAAAATGGCAAGGATTTGTGGTCACAAGAGAAAAACAAAATGTACATTTAAACAACAAATGTAGGCAGTGAAGCATTTTCTGTTCAGTCCTTTTTTATAATGGCGAAGGAAGGACTTGACTTCTTTAAGAAAAGGAAACTTGAACTGAAAATGAAAGCCAATATATTTCCATCCTACCTCTAGCTGTGATCTTGCCTGATCTGGTAAGTTAAATGGGTAAGTGCATGTGACATTATTAGAGGAAAATTAGGCAAGAGAGGACAGAGTATTTTAATTGCTCAGAGGAACTCTTCCTCCTGAGTCAGAAATAAAGCTGTGCCTCTACATGCTGTCAATGGCAATATGGTGTTGGTTAATTACCCTTTGAACAGCATCTAATGCAGAAGTTGTGATGATCAGTGGTTATTAGAAACCAAAATGACCTCTATTTAGGACAAGTGATTTGGCTGCATCCGGTTTTTGGTGCTTTACATCTATTCTAGTTTTTCCTGTAGTTCCAAATGGATGTGTTGGTTTTGGGTTTTTTTTTTTGGTTGTTTCCATAAATCTGTTAACTGGTGGTGCTTTCTATAATATTTTGAGTTCCAGCTGAGAGACAGCTCACTTAAAGTGGAGGGGAGAAAGCCTCATGAAGAGATGGACATTTGATACATCCCACTGAAAGGCATTTGCAGAGAAAGCACCCAGTTTGTTCAAAAGCATTTCTTTCATAGGGCTATTATCAATTGTAAATATTTTCTTCCCCCTAGTTCAAATGGAAAACCACTTGAAAGGAAATAAGCAGGGTGTTTTAAGCTCCACAAACAGTATTGCAGGCAGGTGATGTTGGGTGGATGCTCGGTTATGGTGAGGATGCGCAGCCATGGGTTTGCACGCAGGATGCCGTAATCCAGGCGTTCACCCGCCTGCATGTCGGGGTGCTTCAGCTCACAGGATCCACAGGATCCACAGGATCCACAGAATTAATGACCAGGTTGGAAGAGACCTTTAAGGTCATGGAGTCCAACCCAGCCCTGACACCTCGACTAGATCATGGCAGCGAGTGCCACATCCAGTCTGTTTTCACCACATCCAGGGATGGTGACTGCATGGTGCCTCTTCTTTGGGTTGTGGCAGTTTCTGCAGTGCTTGAGGGGTGTTTGAGGATTCTGCATCTCTTGTTTAACATGGCAGCTCGGAGAGTCCAGACAGGTTTAACATGCTCTGCCTTCACTTCGCATTTCATTTCAAAGGAGTGCTTTCTGCTCTCTGCGGAGGCTTCAATTACAGAGGGCCAAACGACAGGCATAATTAAGGCAAGTGGTGGGATACCAGCGGAGCACTTCGGCCTTTCCACCGAGCATTTTGCTAAATCCTGGCTCGATTAATCCCCTTAAACATCTGTGCATCCTCTGCTCCGCGCAACTCACCCTTGGCCGCCTCTCCCTTCCGTGGGGGGCTCCGGCAGAACCTCACAGAGCCTCAGAGAGCCTCAGAGAACCTCAGAGAACATCTCAGAGCCTCTCAGAGCCTCTGAGAGCCGCACAGAGCCGTGCTCCTTGCCACGCGGCTCCCACCCGTTCCCTGCGGGAACGCCGCCGGGCGGGCGGACGGGAGCGGGCCGTGCCCCCGCTGTCCCCCCGCTGTCCCCCCGCTGTCCCCCGGGCACAGCCGGCTCCAGCTCGCCCCCAGCTCGCCTCCAGCTCGCCTCCTTGACGTCATGTCTGTGGCGAGGCTTCAGCAGGCGCAGTGGAGGCAGCAGCGCGTTAAAGTTTCAGCTGCAGCCCGGCGCTCCCGGCGCGGGGAGCTGCGTGCGGCCGCCGCAGCTGGAACATCTGGAAGCGTTCAGTGTGTCTGTCTGCCGGCGAGAGCGAGAGAGAGAGCGGGGAGCGAGCTGAGGGAGGGGAGGGAGTAAGGGGCTGGGACTGTGCTCTCTCTTCCTCTGCAGAAACAGCTCCCTGCCAACACAACGCGCTCAGAATGGCTTTGAAGAGGAGGAGCAGCAGCGTTTGAACATCTCCCTTTTTTTTTTTTGCCTCTTCCTCCTGTTGTTGCTCTTGTAGTTGGTGGATTTTAAAAAGACATTTAACCCTCAGAGGTTTGTCCTGGATGCTTTTGCTTTTTTTCCTTTTTTTTCGCCCCCCCTCTGTCGTTTCCCCCCTTCCTGTTCTTTTTTATGGTTTAACAGCCAGAGGTGCTGTGCTAAATTCTTGGAAGGGGCCCGGATGTACTGAGGATGCATTGCAATTTCACTAAAGGAGGCAGTAGTGGAAAGGATCAGGTTTTGGTGTTTGATGCAATAATGGGAATCAGGTAATAATAAAAGGGGAAATTCTGCAGCTCCGTTCTTCCTTGAATTTTACCAAGCCGATTTTCGGAGGGATTATTCTGGACTCGTTTTAAATGGTCAATGAAAACAAGAGGATGTACATTCCAGAAGAAAACCATCAAGGTAAGCCTGAGATTTACCTCTGAGGACCTAGCAACCATTCCCTCCCCTGCCCTTTGTCCCTTATCTCCCGGCCGGGCTCCGCCGCCGCCGCGGGCAGAGGCGGCCGAGGGGCCGGGGCCAGCCTTTGACACCGGGCTCCATTCGGGGCTCCGAGACCCCCGCAGCCCCCGGCTGCTCCTTAGGACAGCCCGGCCAGGGAAAAGTTGCTTTGAGTGGCCGTGGTCGCCTTTTGGGGCGAAGGGGCGAGGAGGGAGGGGGAGCGCCGGGGGCTCCTCCGTGCCACAGCAGCCTTATCCGGCCGCAATTAGGGGATCTTTCCTAATGAACCCGCTCCTCCTATCCTCCATCTGGGCTTCCTAAGGCACCGGGAGAGGAGCCCTTCCCTTCTCTTACGCTATTTCCAATCTCTCGCACGAAAGGGGAGGGGAAGGGAGAATTATCTGTTTACACACATGTGCACCATACGTGCGCCCGTGCTGGGAGATCGAGGGGCACCGGGGGGTGCCCGCATTAAAATCAAAGTTGGCTTTTACTCGGGGCGGCGATTTCTGGCAGGATCGCCCGCATCATGGATACCGACCCGCGCTGTTGCTCCTCGGCATTAGCAAATGTCCCCCGCTATTCCCTGTAGTAAAACTTTGTTTGTCCAAACTCCAGAAGCCTTCCCCCCCCCCCCCCCCCCCCCCCCCC